TGATAGTTGGTGCGGTGTTACTGGATCAAGAGAAAGCCTTTGACTCTGTATGGATTAACGGCCTAATATTTACCATGGTGAAGAAGAACCTCCCCTTCGGACTAATATTCCTGATTATCGACATGATAATAGGAAATTTCTTCTACACTTGGGACGGGAAATTATTATCACACAATTGCTTCATCATTGAAGAAGGATTGCAACAAGGCAGAGTGCTATCACCAATCCTCTTCAATGTCTACGACAGTGACACCAACGTAGCAGCTGAGCTTGAAACTGACGGAGTCAACTCAAATTCGTTCGCTGATGACCGAATAATCTACACCGCAGACAATGACGTGGACAGAATCATCTTTAAATTGCAGGATAGAATAAACAAAATTAATAATCATTACCTCAATTGGAACCTGAAAATAAATGGCTCAAAGAGCGAAGCCATATTCTTCAGACAAGCATGCAACCATCTAAAAGTGTCCCAATATAACCGGATAAAAGCAGCAAAATTCAATGTAAAAGATCAGAACGGAATAATAATCGAGATCCCAGTCAGGAAAACTGTAAAATATTTGGGAATAACGTTTGACCACTTAATCCACCTGACCACGCACCACAAAATACAGCTTGGAAAAGCAAGAACAGCGATTAAAAGTAATTCTAGAATATTTTATAATAGCAATTTATCAGTTAAAGCTAAAATCATTTGCTACCAGCTGCTTATTCGATCTCTAATCACTTATGCTGCCCCGATGTTATGGAACATGGGCCCAACAGTAATGGAAAAATATCGGAAACTGGAGAGATCCGCGCTTAGATCATGCATCAGAAGACATAGAAAAGCGGAAACTGACTATCGAGAAAGGATCAGCAATGCCAATATATATAATATGGCCAATATAACGAGGATAGATTGCTTCTACTTGAAATTATGCCGTAATTACTATGCCGGATACCAGGACATTGGTAATCCCATAATGGACAACCTCCGATGCCCAAGTGACGAAATCTGTAAGGACAGATGTGCTACTGGTTACATATCCCCAGAAATGTTTACTTTCTGTGATAAAATTGGAGTACTACAAGACGAATTCAATCTGCCCATCAGAACAAGAGAGTAGAACAGATTTCTCCAAAGCACTGCCGAAGGTCGACATACACGACAAGCACAGACTAAACCACAAATACTGGTGGCTTAAAAAAGATGCCAAGCATATCGACGAAATCCGAAAAAGAACAACTTGGAAACAATAACTCTGGGTTGCAGGAAAAGCTCAAGATTCTTCTATAAGAGGATCAACATTTCATTACATATCATTAGATTAGGTCTGTACATATGTATATAATCACATGTAAATATTAACCCTACACCTTCCTACTCCCCATCATCTCTCATACCACACCCACTTCCAAAAGATAGAGCAGATGTATTTAATTTTCTCAGTACTTTTACATCCAAAAGATACATCAGGACGAACATACTACTGTTAAAAACCAAATATCAAAAACTTAATAAGTACAAACTATCCCGGTAAATGCTGAGATCTACCATGAGTAGCATGGCATTATTTATTTAAAAATATGGTCCGAGTTTTTTAAAGTAATTTTTATACTTGTATTACCTAGGTATCTATGTTTGAGTTCAATAAAAATTATCTTTTTCAAAAAAAAAAAAAAAAAAACCAACGAGCCACTTGTTGCTAAAAGTGATATATTTTAAAAGCATGTGTCTAATCTTACTTTTGTAAACATACAAAGTCAAACGCACGACTAACGTAAAGTATGACGAAACTATAACGGGTAAGCGAGGTCAGCATTTCATACGTAACTCGCATTCATCGTTTTAAGAATAGAGAACTGCCAGCTGTGGCAATATAGTAAACTCAGTCTGTTTACATCTATGTTAAATAACTTCGATATAAAAGCATTGAAGTAAGCGAACGAGTTTTCTCATTTAGGAATAATTATAACCGATGAGAAAAAATTCACGAAGATACCACGTGCTATTCCAGGACTGTATATACCTAAGTAAAATACTGTCGTTTAGGATGCATCGACTTTTTTTTCAGACGGTAAACACAGCCAGCCGTTCAATATAACTAGGTCAACGCACTTTTTCGTAATACGAAGCCAATGTAATGCCGGAAAAATTTAGGTCGGATTTACGTCTCGGCCTATTTTTAATTAGTTCATTAAGCTTTGCCCTCCTTCAATATAGCCGTTGACGCACGAATACAAAGGATTTTCAAGTAGCCCATGCTTTGTCTCGATATATATATATATATATGTAATACATTTATTTCAGTGTTATTTACATATCCCATACAGCTATCGCATTCCCAAATAATATCAAGGCCCCTTTTTGATGGATGGAGATAATTAGATATTTCTTTCAGCCCACGTAAACCTACACTAAATACACATAGTTGACCCGTTATGTATTAAGATCCAGAAAAATTACTGAATTTTAGCCGACGTACTGGCGCCGTGGCTTAGTTGGTTAAAGCGCCTGTCTAGTAAACAGGAGATCGAGGGTTCGAATCCCTCCGGGGCCTCATTCCGGCATTATTAAGAAAAGATATGTCGTACGAATGGTTAACTTTTGTCTTGTAATATTAAAATAACGAATAATAATAACAATGAGGATTACGTTGACTTAAGTAGGCGTTTTTTAAGAATTAGAGAACGGGCAGACTTTTTAAATTACTTGTACAATATTTTACTTGGAATTTAAACAAATATGCAAGTACTATAGCAAAATTATGAAACCACTCTACAGCTAAAATGAACTTTCCATCTTTTAGAGGTTAAAATAATTATCGAACGTAATTTTGCGGAATCACATCCCGGATAAGGTTTCACTGTGGACCAAAACAGGATATCCTTATGGTCTGTAACATCCGGCTTTTGATCTTAATTTCTTAAATAATTAACTGGAGTCCAAAATACCGTTAGAACTGATTACAGCTTCATTAATCAAGCAAAACCGCAATTAGCTAACGAGAAGCTTAATTCGCACTGTAAGTATGGTCCAATTACAAAAAAAAAAGATTAATTGAAAAAAAATATTAATATTATTGCAAATAAAAATTCTCGAATTAATATCACGTGTTGTCAATAGTCAATGATTATAATTAAGATGATCTAATACGTGTGCCACGCGCAGTCAAGTAAGAACAGATGACTTGGACTCGTATAATTTCCTTAAGGAAGTTATTAAATAATTGAAGATTCTTTATGTACAATAAAACTGTCAGAATTCATTTGATTTACATAAATTCTCTTGTATCGTAACAATATATGTCAGACGCACAATGATACTTTGTATAATCGATATAGAATCTACCATGGTAACCAGTGATGCCTATAACCTCAAATTGTATCCCTTATAGACGTTTCGGTTGAACGCGTCGGTAAGAGAAACTAGAATTTTCAAATAAAACCGTTAAGGCACTCACCTTTATTATGGGTAATACGGAAAGCAACGTAACGAGCGGCGTAAAGAAGCAAACTGACGGTTCTTCCATTCTACTTTACAAGCTGGTAGACCTGAAGGGTAAATAAAGCCACTGTATTCGAATACAGATAATCACGAGTAAACGAGCGCCCAAGTAAGATACTAGCTTTTATTTTCGAAAGGCCAAGTAAACACCCTGACTCTCGGGGGGGAGATATTCGTATACGGAAACTTGTCGATTATTATTCTATTATCTTTTGCAATGGAACACGAAGATACAGACGTACGGAAAATTGTTGAAAGTAAAAAAAATTTTTTTCTTTAAAAATCATTTTTATGTTACTCAAGCCTGGCAGTGAGTCACCATATCCATTTGGAAAGTGAAGTGCTAACACGCTGGTAACAGCCCGCCGTTACAAGTGGATGATCCAAATACTTGAAGTTATGACGCAATTCCTTGGACGCTCGATTTTATTTTAATACCACGATCGAGTGTGATCTGGCGACGTATATATATTTTTTAACAGGTGGTGGGTTACTGGTGGACATGATGAAAAGGGCTGCTCAGACGAAACAGTTTGCAGAATTGGATCACGCATTGAGGACAAAGGTCGAGCCATTTTTATACAATAAAGGAAAAGGTAAATGGATACCTATTGAGAAATTGGTTTTGTTAAGGAACAAGGAACGTCCTAGGCACAAGCTGGTAAGATTAATTAAAAATTTATTTCACATGGAAATTTATATAATTTAACAATCGTCTCAGCTGCCTGTCTTAAGAGCCATGGAAAATCCTGCCGATTACGACATCAATAAGGATATCGAGAATGAAGACGTAGACGAGACAAAAATAGGTAACGATCATTAACTCCCTTGCTCAGATTAATTAATAAGTCATTAACCCTCTTTTATATTTATACAGATAAATCCAAGTACCGGCTGGTTTGCTGGATACTTAGTGAAAGAGGGGCAGTCGGTGAAACCATTTTACACTTATGCATGTTACATGCCACGGCGATACACATTGATCTGGCAAAAAGATTGTTACGTTTTTATCCAAAGCTCATTAACGACATTTACATGAGTGACGAGTACTATGGCACGTGCTCTAATTAATATAATTAACTCGAGCAATTAATTTTATATAAATTAAGATAAAATATTCTTATCGAATAGGTGAGAACGTACTGCATATGGCTATAGTGAACGAGGAGCCAGCTATGGTCAAATTTCTCTTGGACAGTGGCGCCGACGTGCATGAACGTTGCTATGGAAATTTCATGTGTCCCGAAGATCAGAAAGCATCCAGAGCTGACAGCCTGGAACACGAATGGGTTTGCGTTTGTCCCGAAACAAATTACAAAGGGTATACCGTTGATATTGTTAAACTAGATCGTAATGGGATGTAAAGAAACGAATTTGTCTTTGACATAAGGATAGGATTGCTTAATGCTATGGGACGAATGAGCATTTTCATTGTTATTCGTATAACGAACGCCAGTCGTAGCTTCTGGGCCAAAATGTTTTATGCTCCATTAGTCGTTTTGCGATTTCGTCTTGTACATTAAGATTAGTTATCGCAGAGTTGAATATGCGCGCTGTCCAGACGTTAAAAAATTTAAGGAATGTCGATAGGATTTTATACCCGGCTCTTTTACTTATTGGGGTCCTTGACCTTTCACCTGACGAAGACTGGGAGCAACGAAAGAAAAATAACTGTGACAACTCGATGCACGTGTTTATATTGCTTGAGTGATAATGACGTGGATTGGAATTACAGTAGGATTTATCATTAGGTTATTGTCTGTCTTTATCGAATTATTTTGACTATTTTTATTATAGATACGTCTACTGGGGTGAATATCCTTTAAGTTTTGCTGCCTGCTTAGGACAGGAAGAGTGTTACAGACTTATGCTTGCCAGGGGTGCTGATCCTGATAAGCAGGATACCAATGGGAACACTGTATTGCATATGCTTGTTATTTATCAGAAGCTGGTAATTTGTTTCTTATTGATTAATAATAATTAGCGGATTTAGATGGATACATTTTTGTTTATGCTTTAGGCCACTTTGGATATGGCTTATGAAACTGGTGCCTCTTTGTCGTTGAAGAATGTTCAGCATCTGACGCCGTTGACTCTGGCTGCTAAATTGGCACATATTGAAATGTTCTTTCATATTTTGAATATAGAGCGGGAAATTTATTGGCAAATTGGCAGTATCACTTGTGCAGCTTATCCTTTGTCTCAGGTCGATACCATTGACGTGAACAGTGGAAGGATCAGTAATAATTCAGCCTTGAATTTGGTTGTCTTTGGCGTGAGTTTACCTAACGGTCAAAATAATTTACAAGACAATATCGTTATTAGCCTAGTTTAATGTTATCTAGGACAAAGACGAACACTTGGAACTAATGGATGGCGTTCTGGTAGATCTGCTGAATGCCAAGTGGAACACTTTTGTGAAATCTAGGTAAATAAACGTATATAATTCTAGGATCAAGCTGTGCTTCATTAATAACTTTGTTATTCTAGGTTCTACAGGCAGTTCTTCTTATTTTGCTTTTACTTTGTTTTATCCCTTATCAGTTTCACTCTTCGCCCTGGTCCATCCGCATCTCAAACAGCTACCACGGTGGCAAATTCCACATTATCAAAGCAGACTGCAACAACTCCAATCTCCAATACGAATGTTACGTCTACTAGTTTTCTAGACTCGTCACGCTTATCAATGGTTACAAGAAGCCTGATTGCAACTTTGACCTCGAATCTAAATTCCACCCTGAACATGACGTCCGAGTATATTGAGAGGATCGCATCTCAAATCACATCGAACATCACTTCGACTTTACAAGAAATTCTACTACAGGCCGCTCAGGACGAGGAGAGTTCTAGCACTTTGTCTACAAGCAGTATTGACATAATTTCACAAAATATTTCAATCAGCACAGAAAACGCATCTCTTGCGAGACACGTCACCGATACCATAAGTGAAACTTTGGCTGATCTAAATTTGACAGTAATCACAGTAACGACCGACACAATTGCAACCACTACCGATGACGATGATTGGTAAGTCAATATTATCATGACAAAAGCAAATTCGAATATTGTTTTGATTAAAAAAAAAATATTATTAGGTGGGACGATCTCACAGAGGAATGCAGATTGATGCATCTGACAAGCGCAACCGCAAAGATCCGCTTGACCACCGAGATAATGATGCAAATCGGCGCCATACTTTACATAGCAGCTGGATTGAGAGAAGCCCGTTTTTTGGGACTTAACATGTTCATAGAAAATCTCGTGAGAACACTTTGAATAGCCTCAATAATACGTATTATTACCTTGACACGATCATCGTTATCCAAATAAATATCTACCTTTCAGATGACTGCACCTTCCAGAGTGATGTTCTTATTCTCCTGCTGCATTCTACTGTCATTCCCATTCCTGAGATTAGCCTGCGCCGACGAAGTCGAGGATATGTTAGCCGTAGTGGTAATGTTGACCACAGCACCGTACTTCCTCTTCTTCTGCAGAGGATTCAAGACGGTTGGCCCGTTCGTTGTCATGATCTACAGAATGATCATGGGCGATCTGCTCAGATTCGTATCAATCTATCTAGTCTTTGTGATGGGCTTTTCGCAAGGTAAACAAAGAAATTATCAAAATTAATCAACATCAAGTACAGGCACAATGCAAAGCTTAGAAATCATAATAAAGGATCATTGTCCACGTCCGAGTATGCTTCGTTGGCACAACATGAGTAAAAGTAGCTGCTTCGCGCGGATGAGGTATCCGTTACAGTGTAACGCGATGCTGACATATATTTTCAATGCAACGGTAAGAAAGATCACGGAACGCAAGCAGGTACTATGCCAAGGTTAACCTAGGCACGCTTGCTGCAAACATTAAGAATAAATACAGTAATAGAATGGCGTGAAAGAATTACAATAATTCGATAGACAATACGGTTTTGTTGATAATGCTAAAGAACGATTTTTTTTCAGCTTACTATATCATTTTCTTATCATTCGACAATCCAAACACACCAGAGGGCGTCGATGACTCCGTATCTAATCCCATGCCGTCCCCTTTGGAAAGTATAATGGCGATGTTCCTCATGAGCATGACGACTTTTGGCGATTATTATGGTGCATTTGAAAGAACCGACCATGAAATGGAGGCCAAGGTAATCAGTTGCCTTGCAACTGGAAATTTACATATTTAGGTTTACGATCAAAGGCATTAGATGCCGCTTGGGGCTATTAGGTCTTTTAAAAATTTCCGGCATTGCTTCAGCTCTTTGTCGCAGACATTGAGTTTCTATTGAACGCGATAAATCAGCATGTTAGGCTGCGTTACGTAAAATGTACGAACGATTGTTGGATTTGGAAAGAAAAGATAAAATTATTCTTTTCCATAGGACTTTATGAATTCATTGGTTATTTCTTTGTTTAGTTGATGTTTGTAGTCTACATGGCTATTGTTGCTATCCTCCTTGTGAACATGCTGATCGCTATGATGGGTAATACATATCAGAAGATTGCAGAGACCAGAAATGAATGGCAGAGACAGGTATCCATGATATGATGAAAGTCTACGTACGTCGTCTAGCTTTTCTTATTTCATAAAAATTGTTCTTGACTTTCAATCGACTGTTACGTTTTCACATTCCTATTTATCGTTGTCACTGCACGGCACTCCTTTGGTGTAAATACACTATGACGGCCATTATTCCCAAGAATGAAACTACTGCACCTCATAGGCATCTGGTGCGTAGATGATTGTATCTAAAAAGTGGCACGACCTCTTTGCATAATATAGATATTATGGAAATAGAATAATAACATGTTTTTAAAGGCTGGGAAATCGATTAATTTTTTAAAAATAATTATATGTTGCCTATCTTCATAGTAAATTTTTTTAAGGTTAGGAAGTACTTCCACTTGTATAAATCTAATGGAGTTTTACTTATTTATCATTATTATACAGTGGGCTAGAATTGTACTGGTAGTCGAAAGAGGCGTGAGTCCTGCTGAGAGACTGAAAAAATTAATGGATTATTCTCAACCGATGTCCGACGGCAGACGAGCACTTGTTCTTCGTTTGAATCAATCGGTAAGACGATTTTGGAATGATCATTATGACAGATGTATAAGGTGCTTTGGTTTTTAGGAGGAGGATAAGGAGGAAATGAAAGAAATTTTAGAGATGAAGAGGACGCATGATAGATTTGTCAAGAAGCTTCAAGCTAAGTTGTTGCAGGAGAAACATGCTACACCGGTACCGTGAATGAGGAATGATTTATAAATGTGAACAATAAAAATCAGGATTCTTCCAGTATAATTAACTTTATAGACAAATTTTTATCTGACACGTGTACAAGAATTTACAAGCTTACGTATAATTTTGTTATTTTAAATTTAATTAATACTTTATCCGACTGGACGTTTCAGGCGATTCTGAAATGACGTACAAGAGCCTACTGTTGGTATCAGTAATATCAGTTACTAAGGAATTTCTATGAAGTTTTTTGGAACACCCTGTACTTAAAGCACGACGTCCATACGAAGAATTCACAGGATTTACAGGCATACGTCCATTGATATACTTCAATCCTTTATCAAAATGTTGTTCTCTGTTGTTAGCTAGTGTTGCATCAGCAGGATTTTTGAGTTTTGAAAAATTACAAGAATTCTTAGCCTTGACTCGCTCCAAAACATGAATCCAAGGATCATTTTGATTTCTTGGGAATTGATCAACTCCTTTCACAGTGCATACTGGCAGTACGTATCTGAAAATCATCAAAACACACAAGAGATAGCGTCAGTAGCAGCTGTAGTAAAAGTGATGTATTTATATGGCAAACGAAACGAAAAATGACGTCATCGCAAGTACAGAATTTCATTAGGGATTGTTCAATGGTTGATGATGTAAGTTAACGCAAAAGGAAAAGCTCGAACCGATTCCAAACACATGTGATTTGTATACGACTGGTGCGTGATTACGTTCAATGAAACAACATATAAAATAGGACGATGCTGGAATATTAAAAAATGCAATAAACGAACCGGGCTACATTTGCATAGCAGAAAAGCGAGTCGGACAAGTACTGAGTGAGTGACAGTCAGTTTCGTATCTAAGACGTCTAATGTGAATTTCAAAGCACGTGCGCGCGCACGTTTTCAAAATACAAAGTAAAATGGATCCTTTGTTTAAAAATTATTCCCGTTAAAACTGTATATAAATTTGGTAATACAATTTTATTAGGGATTAACGCGTGGTATACTATTTAATTGGATTTTTTAATTGAATTTAATTGAATTACCTAGGATTTGATTTCTCTTGGCGATTACAGATGGGACATTTTTTATTAAATGGTTTCGGATCCCATTTCGATGATTGATCGTTAGGTTTATTAATATCGGCAGGATTTTTTGTTTCTGGCAAATTTTTCAGTTTATTCTGAATTGAGGGTATTCTCAATTCAGGAGCTAGGTCACTTGTGTCGGTAGATATATTTTTCGTTGAAATCTTATTTGTGGAAGCGACTATGCCTATACTGCGAAACGTGGGTATTATTTGATTTCCTACTTGAACTCCTTGATCCAAGTTGAAGGTATTTTGGAGTTTGTTTTTTATGGGTTGTATGGTTTTTTTCTCAGGAATTACTGTGTCGCTGCTTATCTCGGAATTCGTAATTTGACCATTTTTAAAATACGATAGGCACATTGGCTTCTGGAAATGTATTCCCATTACATTCAGATCTTCTAAGCTTGAAATATATGTTTTTGATATAGTGTAGAGGGTTAGACACTTTTTTGGTGAGTAACAGGATTCAGAAATTGGTTCCTTGTCTATTAGTGATACGCTGCACGCAGTATCCTTCAATTCGAATTGAATTGCAGAAAATGATTTTTCCAAATGAAACACTTGCGGAAGCAGATTTTGACTAGGTACAATTTTCAATTTGCCATCTATTAAGGAAATCGAATAACTGCTTTTCAAGCTCTTTGAATCCTCGATGAATTTTGACTTTTTTATCTTGGCCTTTGTTAATTTTTTTCGCAAATTCTTTTTTCTACTTCTAACTTTCCTGTCCCCTCTCTTAAACACTGTCTCCACCACCTTATCAGCTCTTTCTACATGCGTTGTTCCAGGATCAACAGTTTTAAAATTCAACATCCTCTTTGCTTTCTCCATTAAAGAATTCTTATATGATTTAAATTGAGATGCATATTGGTAGCTATTTTTATCAGCAGTCTCCACTGGATTCTTTTTAATAAAACTTCTCTCATCCGTCTTTTTCAAAGATTCCGATACTCTTCGCAGAATACTTTCATCTGAACTAAGAATAGTGATGTTTTATCCCCTTTTTAAAAAATAACAAAATCGACGTCAAAGAGCATTTACCTGAAGCACCAGTTTTCAGCACAGTGAGAATTTTTCCGCTGACTGGGTAAAGCAGTAAATGAAACTACATCCAAATAATTTTTTTCAAAATCCATTTGAGATTTTTCAAAAACAGGTCCCTGATCCAAATTCTCAGGCGTCACGTTGGCCGAACCTTCATTAATTGACGTCTCCTTGAAGCTATTTATCAACCTGATAATTAGGTGAGAAATTAATTCCTGTAAAAAATGCAGTTTCATTACATATGCGTATCACGAACCAACCGTAACATGTGTTCAGTCCACGGGTTGGAATCTACAATTTCACTTGTTGAAATTGGATCGGGTGAATCCGTAAAACGTAAGATGTCACGTTGTGGGGTTTGCAAAGAAGTCGCGGAAATTCTAGTCCCGGATGCAGCTAGAGACAATCTTAACGGTGTGTATTAACAATTACAAGAGTTTATCAAGTATTTTAGTTAAATTATAATTAAAAACCTTGAATTGGTAGTCGACGAGTAGGTGCAGCGTGTTTTCAATGGCATTAAAGTTTCCAAGAGATCATCAGCATTTGATGTGAAAAACGACGAAGGAAATGACTTTCTGTTTCTTTGTAAATCAGCGCGCAAATTTCTTCTTCTCCTTTGTGGCTTCCTAGCCCAAATTTGAGTTACGCTTGGTACATCCGTACATGGAACCTTTCTTTTTCGAATTTCCTCCGAATTGTAAAGATAATTTTGTCTGGGAATAATCATTGCTTAAAACGATAAAAAAATTCCAATAATCCCATTACTGGATATTATTATATTTTAAATAAATTCTTCATTCACGAGCTTTTTTCAATAACTTACAGGATCGACGACTCGATCCACTTTTGACCTTCATAATTCGACCAATATTTATTAATTTTAATTCTGACTATTTTTATTTATAAAATCAAGCAATATTATTATATTAATTCATCGCTGCATAACCAAATTTAACACCACGAAATTATGTCGAATAGAAACAGCGAAATTTCGAGATTTCAGTGTCTCGTTGAACTAGCATAGTACTTCCCATATAAATATTTGCATAAAGGGTGTTCCAATTTACATGGTTAGAGAGAAAATTTACTGCCTTTGCTTTTCCACCGCAATCGATCTGATAAACAACTCAGCGTCGTCACGGACAACGAACGATAGTGTGGAAACTGTGAAGGCTTATCTTTACCACAAACAGTAAAATCCTTAGAGAATCATAGACAGAAAAATAATGTATTGTGACACCGTGCATATATTAAATCAACCAATCGACTGTAAAAGTCTAGAAAATGAGCTTTACGAAGCCATAAAAGCTGACGAGCTGTACAAACTACAAAATGACGCAAAAATTAGAGCAATCGAACAACGCGTACCGAATTATGACAATTTCAAAGAAATGGTAAGAATAGCAATTAAATTTGTACAATTAATGATACTTACACGACAAGAATTATTATTACACCTTTAGGTTAATGGAGCACATTTAAAACCCCTTGAACGTACTGATATGAAACCAAGAATTGGAACCATGTGGAATTCTATGAGCGCCGCTGATACAGAAATTAATAACCTGCCGTCATTTCGTCCATCGTCGCAGCTGCATACGTTGAGTTCGATGATGAATGATCTTGAGGAATTCGAGCCTGAAATAATTCCTGAAACTAACGAGAAGTTTCTCAAAACTTGGAGAAAGCTGCCAGATATTCGATCAAAATACATGTATCTTCTTACTACAAGGTAAGCGTGAGATGACATAATATTGTGTCCTTTTAAAAATGGTAAGCACCGCTACTTTTTATCTCCACGATCTTTAACAGACATGTCCTTCGCGACAAGATCTTCCGTACAGAAATTCCTGTGGGAATTCTTGGTGAATTCATGGAAACATTCGTCGAGATCATATCCAAAGAAACTATGAATATAATTCTGGAAATTCTAACAATATTAAGCGAATGCGGTAGATTCAAATTAAGCACGACGTTCATGTCAAACGAAGAGAGAAAAACATGCCGAAAATTATTTGGAAAATTACTAGAATTCAAAGATATCGAAATTAACATTAGTTTAATTGATTTAAAATCAAAGTATTTAAATTAAATCAACTACGTGCGTGCTCAGAGTTATATTAATAAATATTTTATATGATCTACAATATTAAATTGCACAATATTATACATAAGAGTATAAAAAAACAAGAACTGAAATTACCAAATTTAAAATTGTCACTCTCAGTGCATGCGTATGTCACGAGCTACCACGTGACTCACGTATTCAATATGGCCGCCCACGGCGTCTGCTGTTTACCCAGTAACGTGATACTCGTCATAAAGTCCAGTATCAAAATTCTTTGTTGACACTGTCCATTTACTGTACAAAAATCGTAGAACCCCATCATTAAAAGACATTAGTTTAATCATCATCAGTATTACAAGACGTCAGACATAAGACAATATAGTACGGGTGCGTATAAGGTATGGCGCGCGAGTGTGTATATATGTTTGATCAAGAATCGTAAATAAATAATACTTAACTACAAAACGAATAAAGAGACACGCATATTTACGTAAGATACTCTATCGTGAATCGTTCAAAAATCCAGAACAGCACTGAGATGAGACGCTTGGAAAAGTACATCAGCCAGTATGAATAATTATGTGCGATACCAGACGTCTGTCAATGCTAACGTCATTAGGAAATGTAATAATAACAAGATATTTCTTGACACTTAAAGACAATAAACGTGAGAGTTTCTGAAATATAAATTACACGACGTTCCATGTCGTATAATTTCAAGTTTCGTGTGTAGCTAGTTAATACTCGTCGCAATGAGGTTAGATGAGATGCCATTGCGACTGAGCTCGGACGAGCGGGATTTTGAAATGGATGAGGAGACGGATTATCTTCTGCAACCATCGGAAGATAGTATAAGACTGTTAACGTCAAGGAGCCGTCGAGTCAGGAATTGTTCCAAGATTCTAAAGAATGTTTTCTGCGGGTAAGTAAGTTTGGAGGTTAATCTGTAACAAATTGTTTCGTGATAACGTTACCGTAAAATATTTGAAATTTAATGATTCTGAACAGTTGATCCTATATGAAAGAACGGTAACAATATTCATTTAATAAGCATGAAGTAAAAGACTATTCGTATAATGCGCGCTAATTAGAATAAAATTCCCCGGGGAGCTACCATTTTTTCCCTAGATTTAACGATCCGATTGGTTATTGATATGGCTTGCTACTGAAGGTAATTAGTTCGTTGTCTAGTTGGCGCTAGTATCGAATTTGAGTTTGCGCAATATGGCGCAGTTTCCATCTCGCGTATATTTGTGTTTGGTGTACCGTATGATATCATATTAAAGAGAAACGGTGTTTACGATATAGTCTACGGAAACGTCGAGATTTTAACCGCAGTGAGAAATCAAAAGCGATCCTTTCTTCGTACGAATTCCAATGCCCGAGAAAGAATAAATGGAGACGCAAAGTAACATGATAAGGCTGTCAAAGGAGGATATTCCGCTGATATCAAAACCAGGAAATGACAGCCCATGGACAAGGTGATAACTGGGCTGTTGACTCAACTTTGCGAATGAATTTCCTTTTTAACGATTCGTTTCTACCACTACTACTACTACTACTACTATGCAAAAAAACGCTGCGTTTACCTACCTATACTAGATCCAATAGACGGAAGAACCGTAGGCGTAGTGTCCCAAGTTCGCCGTTGAATTATTTTTTTTTTACTTGTAATAGATTGTCTTATAAATGTTGTTTTTTGTTTATTTGTATCAACCTTGTCAGATTGCTATTTTTGTAACGGTCTCTCGCTTTCCTATATACGTAAATAAAGTTCTTGATTATTTTCATAAGCATCATATGGCTCTTAGTAACTTCCAGGATTTGGTGTAAACAGTTGCAATTTTTGTCTTTAGATATTTTTTAATTTAATTCCATTATTACCTTCTTTTCTTTATTTTGATGTGAAGAATATCATTGCAAAGTGGTTAATCAAAATTGTACGTCATGGAGAAAAAGCATATTAATTATTATTTTCATAGGTACAGATACTTTGCTTGTATACCAACTAGTTTATGATGTTCTTATGGTTCTTGTGGGCATAAAGCAAACATTGATATCATAGTGAAAATAATTATGATGATTTAGATAAAATTTCTTGTCATATGTGATATATTGAATGTGTTTAAACACGTGACAATGCATAAATTATCGTAATGAACATTACCTGCTGTGTTTGTGAAGCAAGTTTTATAGTTTAGTCATTGTTACCATCGCAATGTTAACATGTGTCTATATCTTGTCACAAGCCTCTCAAGTCTCATCTGTTATAAGAAAAAAGTATTTATTCCATACCGTATTAAACCTTACTAATACAGATTAAATATTTTTGTTTACAGATGTTGCACATGGATGTGGAGCAGATGTTGTAGAGAAAGGGAGCTTCGTGCACGTACCATTCACATTGGTCAACACATGCATGAAAAATTTCCTACAAATGTTATTCGAAACCAAAAATATAACATCATCACTTTCCTTCCAATGGTAAGTAATTTATTTATCTATTTCTCTCTTACCAGATTAATGCTGTTGAAAAGTTAAATGATTTAATATAAAATAAATATGTTTCTGGTTGGCATTTCCCTTTCTTTAGGTCCTCTTTCAACAGTTCAAATTCTTCTTGAATTTGTACTTTTTAATTATGGCCATATCGCAGTTTATACCAGATATTAGAATAGGATACTTGTACACATACTGGGGACCACTGTGCTTTGTTTTAACCATAACAATTTGTCGCGAAGCGGTGGACGACTTCAGACGTTACAAAAGAGATAAAGAAGTCAATGCACAAAAATATTACAGACTTGTAAAAGGTCTTGACACTCCAGAATTGGTCCCCAGTTCGAAATTACGCGTCGGTGACTTGGTATGTGTATGGATAAAATAATGTAATAATTAATTTACTGTTAGCATAAGAGAATATAATGCCACAATATTAACGACATTCATTACCAGGTAGTAGTAGAGAAAGGTCAAAGAGTGCCAGCTGATTTGGTCCTGCTGCGTACTACGGAAAAATCCGGTGCGTGTTTTGTAAGAACAGATCAGCTGGATGGTGAAACAGATTGGAAATTACGCTTGGCTGTACCAGCTACACAAAAATTAGAATCCGATGCACAACTGTTTGACATTAAGGCGAGTCTCTATGTGGAAAAACCTCAAAAGGACATCCATAGCTTCATTGGAACATTTACCAGGGTATTTAATCATTTAAAAATTAATTTAATTCATATAATTTTAAATGATTATACTCTTATCTCATTGATACACTATAGTATGATGGATACAGCAGCGAAGAGAGTCTTGGAGTAGATAATACATTATGGGCAAACACCGCAGTAGCTTCAGGCTCTGCGTTAGGGGTTGTTGTATACACTGGTCAAGAAACTAGATCATTAATGAATCATTCAGCACCAAGATCGAAAGTCGGTTTATTAGATCAGGAGATCAATCAATTGACAAAAGTATGTAAAAATAATCCTATCTTTTATACAGAGGCTACGTTTACTTTATCAAAAGCTTGAGATACAATTCCACACATAATTTTGTATTTAATTTTACAGGTTTTATTTTGTGCAGTAATTGGACTTGCCTTGGTTATGATGTGCTTGAAAGGATTTAATGGTCCCTGGTATCGCTATATGTTCCGCTTCGTTTTGCTGTTTTCCTACATCATACCAATTAGTTTGCGTGTCAATCTGGACATGGGGAAAACGTTTTATGCTTGGTGTATACAGAGAGATAAAGAAATTGCTGGTACAGTAGTGAGAACCACAACCATCCCCGAGGAACTTGGTAGAATATCATATTTGCTGAGTGACAAAACCGGCACGCTTACGCAGAACAAAATGGTTTTTAAAAAGTTGCACCTGGGTACAGTATCCTTTGGACAGGAAACCTTTGACGAGATTACATCCGTCTTGAAATTGTACTACTCCACAACGGATTCGGATACCTCGCCGGAAAAACCGTCTGTAGGTACTCTCGGTAAAGTAAGACGATCTGAAAGTACCAGAATCTACGAAGCGGTACACGCATTAGCATTGTGTCACAACGTCACTCCTGTGTATGATGAATTAAATGGATCGAATAATTCGGACTCAGTAAGCGTTGAGACTGGCGATACTGGATCTATACAAAGGTATTAGAATAAATCATTTTTTAAATAAATATTTTAATTAATTAACGTTTAATAGTTTTAGACTTAATAACGTAAATAGATTAGCATGACGGCCAGTCGAATGTAGGAAGTAAAATATAAAATTCTTGTTCTAGTCAAACAGAAGCTGATCAACATTATTATCCTCCGGAACAAAAGAGAAATTATCAGGCATCGAGTCCTGACGAAGTGGCTCTTGTTAAATGGACGGAAGAAGTTGGATTGGCTCTTGTGAAACGTGATTTAATCTCAATGCAACTTAAAGCACTTAATGGAAAGATACTAAATTACACGATCTTGCAAATATTTCCTTTTACATCGGAAACTAAGCGTATGGGAGTAATTGTTAAGGAAGAGTCTAGTTCCGAAATTGTCTTTTATCTGAAAGGAGCGGATGTTGTAATGGCCGGCATTGTACAGTACAACGATTGGCTGGAGGAAGAGTGTGGAAATATGGCAAGAGAAGGTCTTAGGACTCTGGTTGTAGCCAAAAAGAGTTTAACCGAAGAACAGTATCTTGATTTTGAAGCAAGGTAAGAAAATACCACACTTAATAAATAAATAATCCTCCATCGTATGATTCACTAGTCCAATATCAAAAGTTTAATTGAAATATAATTACAGATATAATGCAGCTAGAATGTGCGTGAGTGATCGCGTATCTAGAGTAGCTGCGGTAGTAGAGAGTTTAGAAAGAGAAATGGAATTGTTATGTGTTACTGGTGTGGAGGATAGATTGCAAGACAGAGTGAGACCGACCTTAGAATTATTAAGAAATGCTGGAATCAAGGTAAACCAAAATTTCATTAAGTCTTTATCTCAGTAGTAGTCATTTTGTATTTGTATAATTAAAATATCTCTAGATTTGGATGCTAACGGGTGACAAACTTGAAACGGCAACGTGCATAGCCAAGTCTTCTCGGCTGGTATCCAGGACCCAAGGTCTCCACGTTTTCAAGTCTGTAATAACGCGAACAGACGCTCATTTAGAATTGAACACCTTTCGCAAGAAGCAAGATTGCGCTTTGGTGATAAGCGGCGATTCACTTGAAGTTTGCTTACAGTATTATGAGAATGAATTTTTGGAGCTTGCTTGCGGTTCACCTGCCGTTGTCTGTTGTCGTTGTTCGCCAACGCAAAAAGCTGAAGTTGTTAGTCTCATCCAAACGCACACTGGTAAAAGAACAGCTGCCGTCGGAGACGGTGGAAATGACGTCTCCATGATCCAAGCAGCTGACGCTGGTAGATACTCTTTATTAGTTAATTTATAAATGATCAAAACACTTAATTGATTCGCATAAATCTTCTCAGGCATAGGATTGGAAGGTCTCGAAGGGAAACAGGCGTCCTTGGCGGCGGACTTTTCAATTCCACATTTTAGTCATCTTGCTAACTTGCTACTTGTACATGGAAGGCGAAGTTACAAACGATCTGCTGCATTAAGTCAATTTGTCATTCATCGTGGTTTAATTATCTCCACGATGCAGGCTGTTTTTTCTGCGGTTTTTTATCTCTCATCCGTAGCACTGTATCAAGGATTCCTGATGGTTGGGTAAGTGGGAATTAAACGGAGATCATCTCAAATAATTATTAATACTCATTGACTCTTATTCTTCTAGGTACGCCACGATATACACGATGTTCCCAGTTTTCTCACTAGTCTTAGACAAGGATGTATCGGGAAAGATTGCATTGACTTATCCAGAACTGTATAAGGAGCTTAGCAAAGGTCGATCTCTATCGTATAAAACATTTTTCATGTGGGTTTTGATAAGCATTTACCAAGGTAAACTATGCTATATAATCTCATGGACTTGAAGCAGGAGGAAAGACGTTCTTTGATTATGTACATAATTTATTGAAATTAATTGACAGGCGGTGTGATAATGTATGGTGCTCTCATAATGTTCGAGGATGAATTTATTCACATAGTTGCCATCAGCTTTTCGGCATTGGTTTTAACAGAATTAATAATGGTCGCTTTAACCATACGAACATGGCATCACATAATGGTTCTTGCAGAAGTTTTATCGCTTGCTTTGTATCTGTTATCCTTGGTGGTTCTCAAAGATTACTTCGGTAAGTACACTAGTAATTTTAAAAAAACCTGTAGTCATATAGATTTAAATGAGTTTCATATTTCTACTTAACAGATGCGGAATTCATACAAACCACCGATTTTCTCTGGAAAGTTCTGGTGATTACATTAGTCTCGTGCTTGCCTCTTTATATTCTGAAATTCCTACGAAAGAAATTTTCACCACCGAGCTACACGAAATTGACATAAGAACTTGTCACGAGCATTTATTGTTAGTATCATTAGTGGCAGCACTTTTTTCTTTTCATTTTTCTCATAAAAAGTGGTAATCAAAGATCCGCTTAGTTAGCCGGATACGGAATTGTTGCAAAGATCATGTTTATAAATGTTAAGCAAGTGATTTGAAAGATGGAAAACTTGCGATGAGGCTATTCATTCTAAACTAATGTTCAGTTTATGTGAGAATATCGAGATTATTGTACGTCATTCCGTTATGTTGAACCAATTAGAATGACGTATGGACAGCTTTTTTCTGGAAGCGCCATATAGCATCTAGGAGGAACTCCTCTGTTATTTTGATATCCCCTTTCAATTTTAGAGTATAACCCAGCTTCTCGGTTATATTGAAGCATGACGTTGATAAGAAAAATAAAATTACATACAAAAAGAGAGAGTAGATGAACAAATTTCTGTGAGTGATTGTGATAATGATAAAAGTATAGACGAATTTTCTTTTTTAATTTTCCAAAAGATACTCTTAATCCTTTTATTTGAAAATCAGTTGGGCTTTATTCCTTTAATAACCATAGAATCTTAAAGTTATGCTAGATCAAACATTTTGGGCTTTTTTTAAACGCATTTGAAGAATCCATGCTGACGCAATTATTAAAACGTTTATACACTTGTGTTTATTGCATAAACATATATGGATATTTATGTATGTATTATGTGATAAGAGTCTCCAGAATCTTTATTACTCGAAATATTAGCCATGCTGCCAATAGAGAGCAACGTTAACTAATGATTGAATATTAGTCGCTGTATCATACGTTTTAAATTAATTTATGTACCAATAAAATAATATATTCACTCTATTTCCTTTTAATGGCGAATATTAGAAAAGATTGCTGTTTTCTTATCCAATAGCATTTTGCCATTGATTTTAACTGAGTTATTGTTCTTGGACGGAAGATAGAGGTAAGAATATTTGAGAACAAGTAATTTAAACATAGATCATCACCACATAGCATAAACGTATAATAAATCATTTTTTTATTATGCATATTATCTAATAACAACATTTAAATTTTGTGTTGCAATGTCTGCAATTTTTTCATGGATATTGTTTACTTCCTTTTGTGTTAATGTACGCTCCATGTGTCGGTATACGATTCTGTAACAATGTGAGACTTTCTTAGTTTTTGGATGGACAAATTGATCTATTAACGTGATTTGTTCCACTGTGTCACCACCTATTTCACGAACTAGATCATAAAAATCCGTTGGCGTGAAGTTTGTGTGTTGTGGAATCCAGAAACTCATATCGTTGCAACACTGAGGATATATGCTGACAGGCTAAAAAAATTAAATTGATTTATTTAAAGAACTTCAGAGTACAGTAGTGTGCTAAAGATTAAAAGTGAAAAATTACCTTGTAAATAATTGGCGTATCTGGATCATTCACTTCAAATTGTTTCAAGAATCCGGAATCTGTACTCCAAAATAATCTTATGTCAGGGATATTATATAAGCACATAGCCAAACGTTCGAGACCAAGACCAAAGGCCCATCCGATGCGATCACTGGCACCAGATTTCTGAAGGATTTCTTGACGCATGATGCCACAGCCCAAAACTTCCACCCACTTGTCATTGTAAAATACTTCCAGCTCCCAGGAAGGATGAGTGAATGGAAAGTATTGATCGACCCACTGATATTTAATTTCTGTAATGATTAATATAGAATATGGATATTTATATCAATATTCTTAGAATGTAAAATATTCAAAAATATTCATGTATGATGATAGTCATATGACCTTTTCCAAAAATGGCTTTTACAAGTCCAATCAGAACAGTCTTTAACTCGTGTTCCATTATTTTTACAGCCTCTAACGAATGGCAACCTTGCTTCTCTGAGCTTTCATGACCTCTGTGTTCAAATAATTTTAAATCATTAGAATTCTTGACATTTTGAAAGACTTCCTCGGAAGTACACAATCTAACTGCATCTGCTTGATGAAAAATGGGATAATGAGTGGCATCTATCTCGTCTCGGCGATAAACATCACCAATAACCAGAAAATTATTTAAGCCCATTGATATAAGTTCTGATTGATGGGCAGTTGTATGTGCACGCAATAATATATCCTGATTCACATAGTAACAGTCACTCTTGTTGCGGCTAACATGATCTTTTGGTATCATCAATGAATCAAAGTTTTGAGTAACTGTGACAATTGGACTAATATTATCATGCACACTGAATATAGGATTGCCAATTCTGTTAACAAAGGATTTATAGAAGTAATTAACAATTCTCTGTCGTACATGCGACAGAGGATGGTACTGCATGGTATGTAAATTCTTCCCTAATGCCGAGACAATTTTTGGAGTCAAGTTTGTCCAGTCATCGGTTGGATACTTTTGACCTAAGAGTTCAATATCCACTGGAAACTTATTAATTTTAGGAGCAGTGGACAATGTTCGTATTACTGTGAATCTTTTGCAGTGTTGTGCAAAAATAACCATGTTGAACCTAATACAAAGTGACACCTATTATTTATATCTGTATGACAGTGGCAAACAAAATATTAGAAAACGCTGTAATACTTACCACGGCAAAGTCATTCTGTTTTTATACACCTGATAGATAACTGAAGATCTTGTAACTGATTGATTATACTTTAATTATTAAAATTGTCCATTGGCAAACACTAATAGTGTGTGTAAATCAGCCTGTAAAAATAACATACATTTTTACAACACAGTATAAACGCTAACTTACTTTTCAATAATAATATCACATATTTATTGTAATACAGTTTTACCTTTAAAATGACATGACAACCAGAGGTATTATATTTACAAATAATGAAAAGTGGGGTTATGCAATGAAACCGTCCATTTTATTGCCGGCTCTTGTTGGAAAATTAAACACAAAATTTGGTTTGCTCAGTAATGTACTCTTTAGAAATGGTACGGTACTAAAGGTTCCTTTGTTAGTTTATTAAAATTCCGCTAGGTGAGTTAAGACGATAGCATCTGATAACTCTTTTATTCGTCTTTCCCTATCATTCTATTTTGTATTCATAGCAGATCATGGCGTGCACACGAGAGACAATTCTAAGCCTTTACCGGAATTTAATTCGTGAAAGCAAGAAATGGAGTGCTTATAATTACAGGCAAGCATAATGCATCCGATGAATATTCAAGAACAATTAGAACATTTCATGATTGCATGTCATACAGTACATTTTGTGTAATAACTGCAGTAAATTGACTAGACTTTGATTCAGTAAATGTATATTAGAATGATGAAAGAATTACAAAATTTGTAATTACTCTAATTTGTTACTTCTTTTCTGTATGGTCAGTCAAGAGTAAGATATATCCTTGCACTATATATTCCGTTTAATCTGAAAATCTGTTTCTTTCATGTAACAGGTTAATTGTAGTTTCTTTTTCCATAAGAAACAGTAATAAATATTATAAAAACTATAACATTGCAGTTCAGGTTTAAAGTGTTGTCAGTGAGGTGTATGTTTCATTCACATACGTTTAACTCAAGCAATGAAGATTATTAACAAAATGTTAATTATGGCATAATATAATTTTTTTGTTTCTTTTTGTAGAATGTATGCACTGCGAAAAATACGACATGAATTTCAACAAAATAAGCTGCTAACAGATCCAACCAAAATTGAAGAATGTTATCGACAAGGGCATGAAGCTTTAGAAATGATAATAAGACAAGTAACCATAGGAAATCTCTATGGCACTGGGCCACTGGTCATTGAAAAACAAAAAACAAATGTACAATAACATTGACCCTATACATTTATTAATGCAAGTAACGATCCTGAAGGAATTATTAGTAACAGATAAAAATGGCTGATCTAGTAAGAATTATGATTCCTATTTAAAATATTTGTAGTAATATTGCAATGCACCATAAATTAAAATGATTGGAAGACAAAAGCTTCTTCATAAGTTATCTTAATGATGCAGCAATATATGGATGAAAATAAAGCACATTATAAATTTTGGAATACACTTAAATTTTAATTTGTGAATTATTATATTTGCCATGTCATTTGTGCATTGTATAGATGTATAAATCTCATATTACAAATTTTGTACATTTATAGGATAATCAGCATTTGTAAATAAATATTAAATATTGATATTATTTTCCTGAAAATTTATGGTCTAAGCTTTTTCGATAGTTCTCGAGGTGTTATATGGTTCCTGATAGGATTCAAGAATAGTTCTGCTACGCATCATCGGTAAATATCTGTTGAAGATACCGATGGCATCAAACGCTTCAATGCAGGCAGGCAGGCATGAGGTACTCGCTTTCAGTATTGTTTTCAGACGTGTTCCAACCAGTTCGGGGATAGTCCTATTTAGGTCTCAATGTTGGAACCTTAGTTCCGCTCGGAACTATTGTTTAAACAATGCTGGAAACTTGCACCGCTGCACTCCTCAGCGCAGGGTGGCATGAGGTGCTGGTTTTTGTCATAATAAATCTTATCGAGCTTACACTGTGCGCTCGAAATTCAGATTGCAAAGAAAAAAATATTTAGGCAATATCTGATGAGCGGCCTCATTCGAAATTTTGCTTTGATGAAATCGATGGACGCGATCATCACAAAATCCTACTTCCGGACTCACCCCTAGGACTTGGCGCCATGCTTTTGGTATCATCTAAAACTAGAGAAGAGTAGGGAGATGCACACGCAACGGTTTTAGGCTATACGAAAATCATGGCGCTAAATCGCAGCGGCGAGTCTGGAAGTAGGAATTTGTGAATATCATCTCCGTCGACAATGCGTATCCCGTCGTAGCCGAGCTAAATGTAAACACAAATGCGTAGCTTGACGG